CGTTGAATCTTTGATGTGATTGCAGGTATGTTTGGTGATTCGGACTTTGGATTTGACTGCCTGCGCTCACATACGTATATATATGGCTGAGAGGAACCCCACCGTGACTGTGAGAAGTGATCGTCCTATATAAATAATCCGTATATATATTTATATGAGCCTTGGGTATTCGCGCGGCTTACTGTGATCGTGCGCAAGGGTTAACCAGATTATGTCTTGAGAGAAAAGGAAGATTCTCTTTTCATCCTTTGCTTTTTAGAACTTTATAGTTGGACGTTGTAGTCCGTGACAGCCGTCAAAGTCAAACCCCTTGACTTATCTCTAGGCCCTAGATGATGGAGTTGGTCTCCAGGGCAATAAGAGACGATTGCCACCACAGGTATGAACTTGTGTACCACACACTGTCCGCAGGGTGCATAAGAGGGTGTGGTTCTCAACCGCACTTGGCGGTTGTCCAGCATCGAGAGATTAACCCTCAAGGCGCATGTAGGCCGACACTCGAGTGTCGAATGCGACCCTCGAGATTAGCGAGGACCACATGAGTATGGGTACTACGCCATCATTGCGACCGCTTGCGTACGCTTGCATTGCGAGTCTATATGAGTTAGCCCTGCGTCCGCGCAGTTTTATACTAAACCTCGAGCGTGACGCCGATCCGATTTCCGCGTCGGAAAGTTATGGGATGGCTAGTAAGGGACTAGGAGTGTTGTCGCGTTGTTTGAGGTGTGTGTGTGCGTGTTTTATTTTTGTGTTCGCAGTGTGGTGTATGCCTGGTGTGTGGGATTCGTCCTAGTCGACCGGTGACGAGTCGCGCTTGGGACCTCGGCCCCCCAAAATGTCAGTTCGCGCGCGAGTTCGATAGAGGCGCGACTCGCTTGGGACCTCAGCCCCCCAAGATGTCGGTTCGCGCGCGAGTTCGATAGAGGCGTATTACCGCGCGTACCCCCTATGCTACAGCGAACGAGAAACGCTTTCGGCTGGTCCACCTCTGAGATTGCAACTGATCAACTTTCGTACTGTGGACTGGTAGTTCGGCGGGGATACGCCCATCGAAGGGAGGTGACAGCTCCCGTAAGGTGGAGGTAAGTCGTGCCTCGCGTAGGCCCTGTCCTGTCGTAGGGGCTCGCGAGAGGTATGGCTGGCGCACTCGGCCGGAGCGGCTTGCGGAAGCTCCATGTACTTTCACGACGAGGATTCAAACCAACTCCTGCGTGACGCGGTCGGGAGGGTCCCGCGCTGCCTTGTGCGGTGTCAGACCGATGCGCTCGACAACGGGCACTTGATTCCCGTGTACAGGACTTGGAGCAAACTGCACCAAAATCGGAGGCTGGCGAGTCCAGCAGTGCACCCTTTGCCCGCCAACTGGAGGAACGCGTTGATCACGTAGTGGCAATGCTAGGTGACATCAGCACCTTCGCGGCGCCAACCACCATCAGCCAGCAGCTGGACACCTTGAAGAGCGAGATCAGGCAGCGACAACAGCCGTCTGACACCAGCACGGCGAAGCATTACAAGATGCCGACGTTTCGGATCGAGAAGTTTGATGACTACACACATCAAGACTTGGTCTTCTGGTGGCAAGGATTCACAACGGAGTTGGGGATTCATGAGGTCCCCGAACATCTGTTCATCGGCGCACTGTTCCTTAACGCCAAGGGAGGATGCCAGATCTGGCTCAACCATATGGCAAACGTCCACGGCGTCCAGGTCTTCGACCTACACAAGGAGGTCTCCTGGGAGGATCTGACAAAAGAATGGAAGAAGCGGTTGACGACGCCCCGACGCTCGCCATCAACCGCATCTTCACGATGGCTCAAGGAAACACAGCGACACGTGATTGGCTCACGGATTGGCAGAAGATCGTGGCGACGCTCGATCTGGACTTGCCATTCCCGCATCTGCGCCGGGAGTTCTACAACCGGTCATGCGCCGCTTTGAGCCTCGCGCTTGGTGATCGCGAGCAGTACAACACCTTCACCGAAATCATCAACAAGGTGAGGGAGATCATCAAGACAAACAGGGCGGCTGCACACGAGAAATCAACATGGCAGCCAACCTATGTGGAGAAAGGAAAATCTGGATCGCGTCCGCAGCATGTCACTGCAGTCCAATCGGACAACATTGTGGAAGACCCGGCAGCCACCCAAGCGTCACGTGAGGGAGATCAAGTGGCTGCTGTCCAGCTGCGAAGCAACAACAAGTCCCGAGGAAACGGGAAGGCGAAAACCACATCGCCGGCCGAAAACGGACAGCCATCACCATGGGTCAAGTTTCACTTGACCGAGGCCGAGTACAAGTACCGCGACCATTACGGCTGCTGCTATTGGTGCAATAACACCAAGCACAAGACCACCCTCTGCCAGGATCAGGGCAAGGAGGATGTTCGGCCTCGTATCAACTCGGGAAACTGAGTTCCGCGAGAGGTGAGGCGACTCCACCTCCCACTCCGCCAGATTCGGCTGCCTTGCTAGCAGCCTCCTACAAATCTGGGGAGGATGCGAATGTCGCAAGTTCTCGGTACACTTACGAGGACTATGCTGTCCACTTTGTCCCACCGTTGGACCAACCACTCCACGTGCAACAATCCATCGCATGCACGGTTTCACTACCATCGGCAACCGAGTCGGCAGCTTCGCCGCCATCTATAGCCGAGGATTCAACGACATGGTTAAGACTTGAAGAGCTCGACCCGTTGACGTTTGCGGACTTCCAATGGATGCCCCTTCCCCGGTCCGGTCAATTGCCGAAACCGCATTGCAACGTGCTCATGGCACAACTGCGGGATTACTTGCACACTGCAGTACCAACTCCGTTGATGGACGTCGGAGTAGAGGTTGTCGACCTTCACAATTACATTGCGAAGATCGACCGCGAGTTCAGGACACAGCGGTACGACAACATCGACGCACCATTGTTATATGTACGCATTCAGATCGGAGAGGCGACCTGCAACGCTTTGATCGATTGTGGAGCATCTCGCAACTACATGAGCCAAGACTTTATGGTACGCGCTGGCCTTGGCCCACGCGTCCGGAGGAAGTCCCAGCCTACGCAAGTCACGTTGGCAGACGGTCACATGCACAAGTCAATCGACCGGTGCATTGATGACGTCCCCGTGTACTTTGCCCCGCTTGCAAGCGAGGCGGTGTCCTTCGATATTTTGGACACCAAATTCGACATGATCTTGGGCATGTCATGGCTGAGAAGCGAGGATCACCCAGTGAACTTCTACCGCCGCATCGTTCACGTTCGTGATCGGAACGGAGTACTAGTCCAATGCACGGTGCCTCCTCCTCACCCTTCGAACAGCTGCCACGTGGTGTCCGCCGCATCAGAGACGACATCGAGGAGATGGGGGTGTGTTTTCTCCACGCCCTCCCGCCCCATGACGCTTCATCGACGGACTCATCTTCGGACCCACGCATCACTGAGCTTCTCAACGCCTACGGTGTCGTGTTCGAAGGCTTGCACGGAGTTGTACCGGATCGGCCCATCCGCCACGAGATCATCCTCGAGGACGGGGCTGTACCTCCGCGCGGTTGCATCGACCGAATGAGCGAGGAAGAGTTAAGTGTGCTATGGGCACAACTCGACGACCTTCTGGAGAAAGGCTGGATTCGCTCATCGCCACACGGTGCTCCTGTTCTCTTCGTCCGCAAGAAGAACAAGGATCTGCGGTTGTGCATCGATTATCGCAAGCTCAACGTGCAAACGGTCAAGAACGTCGGCCCTCTTCCACGCATCGACGACCTCCTCGAACGGCTGGGCGGCGCCAAGTTCTTCTCCAAGCTAGACCTCAAATCGGGATATCACCAACTCGACATCCGGCAGGAGGACCGCTACAAAACCGCGTTTAAAACACGATATGGGCATTTCGAATGGCTGGTTATGCCATTTGGCCTTACGAATGCCACGGCCACATTCCAAGCGGCTATGACAACGGAGTTCCGACACATGCTGGATAGATTCGTACTCACCTACCTAGACGACATTTTGGTGTACAGTCGGAGTTTGGACGAGCATGTGGAGCACCTGTGCACTGTTTTGGAGCGGCTACGACAAGCCAAGTACAAAGCCAACCGAGACAAATGCGAATTCGCGCGGCAGGAGCTGGAGTACTTGGGACATTATGTGACGTCGCAAGGCATCCGTCCACTTGTGCACAAGATCGAGGCCATCCGCGTATGGCCCGAGCCCACCAACACCACGAACGTCCTTTCATTCATGGGGTTGGCGGGCTACTATCAGCGATTCATCACCGGGTACGCAGGGATTGTTGCACCTATGACGAGATTACAATCGCCAAAGGTGCCATTCGTGTTCGATGATGACGCACGCCGGTCATTCTAAGCACTCAAGACGGCCATGCTCATGGCACCCGTCCTTAGCATCTACGACCCCACCCTGCCAACGAGAGTGACAACAAACGCTTTCGGCTATGGCATTGGGGCAGTCTTGGAACAACACGACGGCGACGACCGGCACCCTGTGGAGTATTTCAGCCACAAAGTGCCTCCCATCAATTCACTTGATGATGCAAGGAAGAAGGAGCTGCTCGCGTTCGTGATGGCTCTCAAGCGATGGCGGCACTTCCTCCTTGGGCGTCAAAGGTTCACATGCATTGACCTACTACAAAACGCAGGATACGGTGAGCAGCACGATCGGACGATGGATGTACTTCATCGACCAATTTGACTTCACACCGAAACACCTCCCCGGCCTCTCCAATCGCGCAGCAGATGCAATCTCGCGAAGACCTGATCTTTGCACTATGACACATCATGCCTTCGCATTCGACGAGGAACTCCAACGACACTTCATCCGGGGCTATGAGTCTGATCCGGATTTCGCCACGTTGTATGCGCAACTATCTTCGGATCACCCGCCGGCCAGCCACTATCGCGTCGCCGACGGGTACTTGCTCCTCCACTCGAGAGGCAAGGACTTATTGTGTGTCCCACGCGACCGTCGTCTTCGGACTCGCCTTCTCGGTGAGTACCATGACTCGCAATTTACCGTCCATTTTGGAGTCAATCACACTATTGCACGACTTCGGCAGCGATTCCGATGGCCAGACCTCATTATCGATGTCACTCGGTATTGCGACTCTTGCGAAGTTTGCTGACGAAGCAAGCCCCGCAACCGCAATCCCTACGGGGAGTTGCGCCCGATGCCTATCCCACAGGAACCCGGCCTCTCCATTGCCATGGACGTCACCGGTCCGCTCCTCCGCGACTGGCTCGGGCACGACGGCATCCTCACGGTCGTGGACCGTTTGAGTAAGTACGCGCATTTTCTCCCTTGCAAGTACTACTCCACGGCTCCTGAGCTGGCACGCCTCTTGCACACCGGCTGGATTTGCGGCCACGATGTACCGGAAGACATAGTCAGCGACCGCGACACTCGCTTCATGTCGGCATTTTGGACTGCTCTCATGCAAGAGTCCGGCACGAAGATGAAACCAAGTTCGGCTCGGCATCCACAGACGGACGGGCACATCAAACCGCTCAAATGATGCTTCGTATGCTCATCCGTCCGGATCGGAAAGATTGGGTTGACCGCCTCCCCAACATCGAGTTCGCGTACAACACTTCGGTGCACCCGGCGATCGGCGTGACTCCATTCGAGTTGCACCACGGTGGACGGAAAGGCTGTATCTTCGCCGATCTGCTCCTCCCACGACCAGCCGACATCGACGCCACTTGCTCTCCCGCTTCCGTCCGGAAGTACAGGGAATTGCTGGCTCAAGCCCGCGCGAATATGCAAAAGGCTCAAGTCCGCATGCAGCAGCAAGCCAACAGGCGTCGCGTGCCATGTCCCATCCGCGCCGGTGATCTGGGTTGGGTCTCCTCGGAAGAGTTTGCACTGGAATAGGATGTTTCACGCAAACTGCTTCCCAAGTGGTTTGGACCATGGCCCGTAACATCAGCCGCGGGCGATGAGCCCGATGGCCCTTGATTTGTGATCAACATCCCCCCTCATTTGACGGTCCATCCAGTCTTTCACGCCTCGAAGCTGACGACATACACACCAGCTAAGAGCGACGACTTCCCGGGCCGACGATCGCAGGACCCTCCTTCTATGGATGGTCATCAGGAAGTTGACCGCGTCATCACCGATCGCAAGTATGGCAGCAAGCCTCAACAGTACAAGGTTACATTCAAATCATGCGATCGCGACGACACTCGGTGGATTTCAGGAGTGGATTTGAAAGCATCCGCACCGCTGATCTACGCTCATTACGTGAAACAAAGGTTAGCTCAGGGAACATCGCGACCTGCCCCTCCCACCCGGACTGTGGTCCCTCCCTCAGACAGACAGCTTCGCCCTCGCAGGTAAGCTCGGTCTTTCAAGGAGGGGGGGGTGTGGCATACTGTGTAGCCACACCGGCCTGCAGGGCCCGTTCCGCATTCTCAGCCTAAAAGCCTAGAAATAAGGGCTTACAGGCCCCGTGTCGTTCCAGCCTGAAAACTGAAAACGAGGGCCTGCAGGCCCTATTTCGTTTTCAGCCTATAACAGGGCCGTTCAGGCCCTGAGTCTTTTCAGCCTGAAACGGAGGGCCACTTTCGGGCCCTCATAAGATCGTCCTGCCCTAGAACTCAGGCAACAAACCAGGTTTTTGGGAACAAGCTATTTTTGGCCTGTTCCCCACGCCAGCCTCAGCAGGAGCTGCAGCGCCAGCCCCTGGCTTGCCCTGGCATTGGCAAGAGCAGCCTCCTGGACTGCCTCGCCCTGCAGCTGCAGGCAGTCAGGAGGCAGGCCGAGTAGTACATAGGGAGTTCCCATGCACTTCACTAGTAGCTGCAGGAGTAGTCTTCAGCGCAGGGCGCTAAGTAGTGGTAGTGGTAGTAGCGTTGGAGAGAGATGGCTGGCGGAGGCCAGCGAGACTTACCTGTGGCGCCATAGCTCCAGCTCCATCTTCGAGGTACCTGCATCAAGGCGCCAACTTCACAGGTTAGTACCGGACACAGAGAGAGAGTGAGAGAGAGAGAGAGAGAGAGA